TCTTGTGGGCAGCGATCTAGTCCTGCAAGCTCCGCTCGCGCCCGGGTTGTGCGGACCATTCTCCTGCCTCAGCTCCGAATAGCTGGGGGACTACAGGTGCCGCGACCCGTCGCCGGCTAGTTTTTTTTGTTTTTTGTTGAGTAGGAGAGGGGTTTCACCTGTGTATAGCAGGATGTTCTTTTGATTCGTTGTTGTTAAGGAAACAGTAGCTAAGTTAAAGAAAACCACCTATTGAAATAAACAGTTCTCCAAAATACCTTTCTGACATTTACCTGTCTTGAAATCCTTCTTTAAAAGAAATTTGCAACTGTAAAGAAAATTTTAATTTGTAAGGGTGCCAAAGAGGGAAGACTGGGTTGAAATTCTTACCATTGTTTGAAATTGACATAAAAGTCCTACCTTTGTTCAAGATGCTTCTCTCAGCCATCTCATTTTAACTGGGTCTTTATGCACTACCTTTTTCCATGATTTGAATAAATGATTTTTCAAATATTTGAGCAATATTTAAAGCTAAAGTGTCAGCTATGTGCTTTTGAGAGACAAATTTTATACCTTGTAACACCTGAATCATCCCTTTAGAAATGTAAATTTAGTATTGTTTAGCTAACAATTGCTGAGGCCAAGGAAACAGGTCATTTGAGAGTTGATAGGCTGAATGGGGAAAAGAAAAACTATTTGAAAACTGGCAAATGAGAATTCTTTGTAACAGCTAAGATCTGCCTCTGTTTGTCTATATTTCTATAGGTGTTACCTGTGTATAATAATATTTGATAGAAATAGTTTTGAAATTCTTGGTACACTAAAATAGAAATGGCTTCGGAATTATCAGTTTAACATAATTCAGACATTTTTGCATGTGTCTACTGGTCAGACAGGTTATGTTGTCTCTGCTATGTGTTTTACAGTTAGGCAGGTTTATGTTGCCTCTACGTTGTGTTTTAAGGTTGTAAAACTGCTGCTTCTATAAACTTTTTGATACTTGCTTGGTATAATTGTTAGTCTATGTTTTCAGTATTGAGCTTCTTGATTCTAGGGTCAGGACAGGTGGCCAACGTGAGGCCTGGGAACATGTCCTCAGTGAATTCACTACCAGCTGCAAGGAAAAGTCAAACCCAGTATGACTCCTTCCTCTATGGTCCAACTTTGCCTCCTGGGCAAGCTGGGTGGGCTTGAACCCTCCACACACAGTCTTTACAGCTTTATCTTCTGTCTTAAGTGCTGTAACTGGTGAGTAAATTCAGCGCCCAGATGTGCCTTGCCCTTCATAAATATCCTAGGTGTCATATGGCTACTTGAGACCTATAATGACTGGGGAAGACATAAGGGAGAGTACCTGTGTCATAGTTTCCAAATATTTTTCACTTTTCAGTAATTTAAAATCTTAAAGTCATGTTCTATTAAATTAAATAATAATTATAAAATTTCTAAGTCATTTGTAATTAGTGAAACATTAATTATTAAATATAAGTTTCAACTGACATACTTTGTCACCTAATTCTTCTATGATCTAGAAAAACTAAATATATCTAGATCTGTTAATAAGCAAAACATTAAGGAAACATGTCTTTCTAGAATATTATGAAATGGCTTTCATCTATAAATACTGATATAAAACAGTACATAATTACTTACTTCCTATGTTTTCACTAAAAATTAGGCTTCCTAAGAGTTAAAATTGTAGTTAATATGTATAATTAAAACCACCAGATATGAAATAGTCTATATACAAAACGTGCATTACAAAGCAAGTTGCCCTTTTGGTGACAAAAGTTGTAAAAGCATGACAATGTGTGATTTTGAAAAAAAATAATTTTCTCTAGTTTCAAATTTACTTAAATATTGCTTCAAATTAAAGAAATGAAAAGATATAGATAAAAAATAAAGAGTTGGAAAGAGAAAGAAAGTAGAATAAAATTTTGTAAGAGATAACAAAAGGTTTTTAGAAATCTTGTGTGGTCAAAATAATGACTGAGATTGGCTTATTAGAGTTTATTAGTTTTGGAATTGATAATACATTAATACAAAGGTGAAAGTTTGGTTTTCTCTTTTAAACAAGAATTTTCATGTGGCACAGTTGTGACAGTAGAAGATTTTTATTCACATTTTGAGTAAACTGCAAAAAAAGTAAAAGAGAGAAAGAGAGCAAAAGAGAGACAAGGGATAGAAAAACAGAGTCTGTCTCAAGCTATTTTCCTCAGCTCTTTCAATTGGAAAATTGAGTCTTCTATCAAAGAATAAAAGTTTTTGCTTTTTAAAACATGTTTTTACCACTTTGGCTAAATGAAAGGCTATTATTTAGTCACGTGATTCTATTTTGTCATGTGACCTGTGATTCTATTTTGATTATTTTAAGCCTTTGTAAGAAAAAATGTTTAACCTTTTTGAGTTATGTTTCAATGAATATGTTATTAATGTATGTCCTAATGCTGTATGAGATTCATAAAATTTTGACGTATCTTGGTATATTTTGTTAGTCATAATTATTGTAATTATGTTAAATTATTGTAGGCCACGGAAATAAACACATTTTCTTGTCAACTGTGTTTTTAACTATGACCATTTTAAGTTGTTTCTACAGTTATTTGCTTAACTCTGATGTAGTTTCTGTAAGTTCTTCACAAGCAGGTAGAATTTTATGGTATTATTTCTTCAAAAAGATTCATGGAAAATATGGAAAAGGCGCTGACAAGCACTCTTGAGTACAGATTTTCCGTAACTATGAGATCATATCATTTGGTTTGAGTAAGAATTTCAAAAACTCCAGGAGACTGATTGGTTCATAAATCTGCTAACCCGAGTGGTACAAAATTCAGTTACATACAAGGAAATACCCTGTAAGATTTCATGCGAAATCAGCCAGCATTAAAATTTTTAAAATATGCAGTTTGGATGAACTCCATGGCACAAGTCAAATTACCAATGATAATCCATTTATTAAGCAGTGTTAGGAACCTGAATTAAGGTAACGAAATTAGTATTTAGGAGCATACAAAACCAATGTTAAGAATGGACTCATGGAGAGTCAATTGTTTTTTGCTCAATTAAACTCTGTAAAATTTAATTTGTTTAAAGTTTTTCTTTTAACACGACTAAAAATCGATGATTCGCAAACCACATAAACTTATGTGAATTTTAATGAGAGCACAACCAAAACCATAAATAATCTTATTTTAAATAGCGCCGTTGGATCTCCATTGGCAATAACGTCTGGGACCACTATCATTAAATATTCTGCATCTTTAACTTGAAAACTTCAGCTTCTTCCTTAGAGTTATAGGTTGTTTGGTGGCATATTGTTCCAATAGAGACCAGTTCCATCAAAATTTAGAATTTGATATGTGGCATAGCATTCAGAAATGGCTTTACATCTTCACTGTCTGCACTGTCAGCACCAACATTTACTTAAAGTTTTGGCAAAAATAGAGTAGTTCTTGAAGCCATTACTTATATAAAGACTATATAAAGAATTCAGCTTCTGCAGAAATTTCAACATTTCTTTCTAAAGATTTTTATATATTGCTTAGGCTTTCTTAGGAAAATGTCCCTTAATGATTCATAACTTTCATGTATTATGAAAATTACCTATAAAGTAATGCTACATCTGCATAATACTAGCAACACTGTGGAACTGGATATTGCACAACATAAACTACATAAACAATATAAATTATAGTATAACAAATTATATTTAATATTTTTGTCTGTTTTATACATTTAGAATATAATACAGCTGACTTATTACAAAATCTTAGTAATTTTACATCTACTGACAAACTTTTTCTAAGGTTTTTTAAGTACTCACACCAATGATTTAGTTCAGGACTTCATGATCTCCTCCACTACATTTTTATTATATTTTGGCTAATTCTTTCAAATATTTTTTATATTTGTTGAAAATAAATTATAATATTTTTATAATTTGGTCTTATATCACTTACTCAAATTCTTCTCACATGTTACACATTTTGCCTTGAGCACTAGTTTAATTTCTTAACTGTTCCCTGCACATTATCCTTATAGTATCTTTAAGACATGCTCCAAGGATAACCTAAATTTAAGCTGTCAGGATAATTTACCTGTAGAATTGCGTTTAGGATAGAGCAATAATGGCACAAAGAAACATAAATTAATTTTCTCAAATAAATAGGTACTGAGATATAAAGAACAGCCTAATTTATCAGCACTGTGAAGAGAACATTGAACCAGGTTTGTTCTATCAGCCTCAAACCATGTAATTTTATAATCAAAATTACCTTTTAGTACAAAATGGTAACAGGAGCATTAGCCATCTCATGTGCTTACCAGACAGCAGGAAAGAAGAAAGAGAAAAGGATAAAGCTTACTTGTTATTTAAAAAAATAAAAATAAAAAAAGAATCCTATAATTTTCATACAACATAACAACACTTCTTTAATGAATACATAGTTATTTGGCTACAGACATAAAAGAAGTTGGAATATAATGTGGTAAATTATGTTTCAAATACCACATTGAATTATATTTAGTAACAATGTAATTTTGGATTCTATAGGCATAAATGTGAATTCCATAAATCTTTAATTTTATTTCTTTAAGTTTTTGCATCAATTGTGCATTTACTTTTAAAATAATTGAAGACAAATACTGGTTCCTTTATGTTATGAAAACTTGTACAATAATCATATATCCTTCAGATGTAAAAATATTTTTTCATGAAGTGAGCTATTTTCCAAAGGTTTGTTTTTTGAAAAGTTACCAAATTTCTTTTCTCAGTTTATTTATATTTTCAACCTCTGTTTAACTCACTTTGAATTTTTTTCATTTTCCTAGAAAATTCAACATGGCAATCAAATGCTCACATTTATTACCATGGAGCAAGCAATATCCTACAATTAACATATAGCAAGTAATCTCTTATAATTTTAATTGTATATTTATGTATATTTAATTGTATATTTACTCATTTTGTTGTCTAGATTTGATTGTAGTAGTTTTGTATTCATTTTCACAATTTGAGTAAGAAGGGCTATAACAAGCTTCTGAGTCTTTCAAGAACCAAATCTGGATTTGCATTAAATCAACCGCTTTTCCCTTTTATTTAAAAAACACTACTTTTATGTTTATCTTTAGTGATTATTAGTCTGTTATTTTCCAAAAATTTTAGTTGAATGCTTTATTTTCCATTTTAAATATCACCAATATATTTATCCAAGTGTTTAAAACCATGCTCTTCCATTCTTCACAAATCCAGTGCATCGCTATCTTCCAAAAGTATCACTGTTTAAAATTTTTGAAGCTTGAATATTGTACAGTCGACTTTCCAAATTGACAGGTTCTGCGTTTGCAGATTTAACCAACTTTTGATCAAAAATAAAAGAAAAAGTATAAAAATAACAACATAACAATAAAAACCAATACTAATAAAAAATCAGTATAGTATAACAACTATTTACATAGCATTTATGTTGCATTAGGTATTATAAGTAATCTAGAAATGATTTAAATTTGTAACAGAGTTTGTGTATATTATATGCAAATATAATACCATTTTATGTAAGGGACTGAAGGATTTGCAGATTTTGATATGTGTAGAGGTCCTGCAACCAATTTCCTGCAAATACCAAGAGACAAATGTGTGGTAAATTATCTTGCCTTCAAAGAAACTATGCATAGTTAACATAAGTGCAGGTTTACTTTCTTCGTACTACTTACATGGAGCTGTTCTGTAGCTACCGTAAAGTATATACACTTTAATTTACACCTTTATTGCTTTTTTAATGCGTGAAAACATTTCCCACAAAATTTTTATGTAAAAAAATATTCACTTGAAAGGTAAATATAGCAAATAAAATTCTATTCAATTAAGTTGGTGCCTATATGTGTTAAGAAACTAAATTTTCATTCCAGTAATTATTATTATTATTATTATTATTACTTTTGAGATGAAGTCTCAAACTGTCACCCAAGCTGGAGTGCAGTGGTGCCATCTCGGCTCACTGAAACCTCCACTTCCCAGGAGATTTAAGCAATTCTCCTGCCTCAGCCTCCCAAATAGCTGGGACTACAGGCATGCACCAGTATGCCCAGCTAATTTTTGTATTTTTAGTAGAAGTGGGGGTTTCACTACGTTGGCCATGCTGGTCTTGAACTCCTGACTTTGTGATCCATCCACCTCGGCCTCCCAAAGTCCTGGGATTACAGGCGTGAGTCATGGCGTCCAGCACCAGCAATTACTTTTAAACTAAGAAATCTAACTATTTTCTCCTCTTTGCAACATAACTATACATATTATCACTCTTTTTAGATATAGCTACCTACATTCAGTATAATTCTTGACATTAATCTATTTTCTAACTAAACAGTGCTTGCTTAGTCATTTGGTCATTTGATTAAATTTTAAAGCATAGGTAACTTTCCAATATATTTTATCAAAGTCTCTTTGATCTTTGCTAACTGAAAAGGTTATACAGAGCCCATTTACAACAATGGAAGGATTCATAAAAACAAGAGGTAACATATCACACACCTGAGCATGAGTGGTCAAAGAGAATTTATTGAGAAAATATACTTATGCCCTTCAGATTTCACCCTTATTAATTCTTCAGCATTTATAAGCTTTATTTAGCAGATTCATTAATATTTTGTTTTAGTTGAACAAGTGGGAATCTGAAATGAGCCATTTTGGAAGTAGCTGGACAAAAGCCTATTCTCTTCAGTTTAGCCACATTGCCCTTCTTTGCATATCAATGGCCACATTTCTCATTTTCCCCTGTGTCAGGCAGCGCTGATGCAAGCACAAAGCTTCTTTTGAATTAACAGAAGATGAACACTGGGGTCAATTGATCAGACCTAGAAGGAGAGAAGAAATGAGCTCAACAAGCCAAGGAATGATCTGGAATACAAAGACAAGAGCAAAATGAGATTTTACTAGATACATTGCTTTATATTCTGTTTTGATTCTAATAATCAAATAGCTTTTACAGCTTTAAATTTTGATTATTCCTTTTTATTTTTTAGGAACTTAAATTAATTGAGCATATGCAAAGAATAACATATTTATTTATAAATAATTTATTTGGTGATCTGCAGATAATAGAAAAATAAATCATTTCCTCTTATATATACAATGATATATAAGAAACGTATCCTGAAGAATGTTTCTTGCTATATTGTTTTAAAGCAGCATTGTTCAATAGATACATAATGTGACACAGATATAATTAAGAATTTTTCAAGAAACCCCATTAAGAATAATTGTAAAAAGCAGATAAAGTTAGTTTTACTAATTTATTTTATCTAGTATTTTCAAAATATTACTCCAAATGTAATCATTACGTGAGTATTAATGCAATATCTTGTATTTTTGTTTTTACATATCAAGCCTTCAATATTGATTATGCTTTTTATATCTGATAGCGTATTTTAAGTGCTCAATAATCATATGTAGGAATGGCTTATATATTAGGTAGTGCCAGGTCAAGAGAAATAGACCATTACAATGATATTTGAGAATAATCTTTTGGATGTTTTGTTGAATGCAATCATTTATAAGCTCAAATATTTACTATATACTGGCCGGGAGCAGTGGCTCTCGCCTGCAACCCCAGCACTTTGGGAGGCCAAGGCTGGCAGATCACGAGGTCAGGAGTTCGAGACAAGCCTGATCAACATAGTGAAACCCCATCTCTACCAAAAAAAAAAATACAAAAATTCGCTGGGCGTGGTGGCGCGGGCCTGTAATCCCAGCTACTCAGGAGGCTGAGGCAGGAGAATCGCTTCAATCTGGGAGGTGGAGTTTACAGTGAGCAGAGATTGTGCCACTGCACTCCAGCCTGGGTGACAGAGCAAGACTCTGTTTCAAAAAAAAAAAAAAAAAAAAAAAATTTACTGTATATTTAGTGTCTGCTATGTCATATAATCTGTATAACTAAATATATATTGAGCCTTTGCCACTCTGATTATGTGATAGTATCTTTATTTATCTTTATTTCCACAGATTATCTTTTACCAAAATAAAAAACCAAATCAAAAATGCCCATATCACTGTATTGACCATTGGAGGCATTTATGTCTTCCTTTTTCGTATCTATGTAGCTCAGTTCTTATAAGAATACTGTTTGGGAAATAAATTTATTCAAAGATTTTTTATTCAAGAGCTAGCTAACTTTATTACAAACTACCAGAATTTATATAAGTTGTTATCAATCTCTGAGTCTCTGAAAGTTTAATTGTAATAATGATAATGTCATAATTACAGTACCAGCTTCATAGATAACCTGTGTATCACAGGCAGAATCCTAACCCTCCCCACCAGCAAGATGACAAATTCTGATCCCTGGCACATGTGACTATGAGAGACATCTCTCCCATGATTATATATTATGTGGCACAGCTGACTTTAAGATAGGAGATTATCCCAGAGGCCTGGCCTAACCATTTGAGATTTTAAAAGCAGAGAATTTGTTTCCAACTGATGGCTGAAGAAATCAAAGAGATTCAAAACAGGAAAAGGATTCAATGTGCCCTTGTTGCTTTGAAGATGGGAGGAGGTCACTGAAGAAGGAATGACATATAGCCTTGGGGTGTAGTAGCAGACATCAAGATGACAGCCATCAATGACACTCCTGTAAGAAACTGGATTTTCTCAACAACCTGAATAACCTTGGAAATAGATTCTTCCCCAAAGCCTCCAGATAGCAGTGACACCCAGTGAGTGACACCTTGATTTTGCTTTATATTGGTCTTATGGGACCTGGAGCAGACAACCTAATAAGGCATACTGGATTTATCACTTACAGAACTATGAGAAAAAAGTGGTATTGTTTTAAGCCATGAAATTTGTGGTAAATTATTACAGCAGCAATGGAAACCAATATACTATGTGAAAATATCTTGCAAACATTAACATGTTTTCTAAATTTTAGGTATTATAATTAGAACATATAATCCATTGGATCCTCTGTTTTATTTAAATTCTTTGTACATAGATTAGCCTGGTCTATTCTATGACCAAATGTAGTATTTCTAAATACAGTACTTCCTGCAGTTTTCCAATTTGTATGTTATCCTTATTAACATGAACTATTTGAGAGTAATAACAAGCAAGTGCTAATCAATTACTATTGTGGAATAACTCAAATAGTCTAATCTAATTAATGGGACATAGTAGAACACCATTAACAACATATCTACTTTATTTTCTATCCCACATACCATAGCATGGGGCAGGGTAATTTTCTTAATAAATAATGACAAGTAATTCTGATAAAGACACTGACGATTAAATTATGGTGGCAATATTCAAAATTTAAAGAGAAGACAAATATACTTCAAAATTAATGTATTTCTATAAAAGACTTTTATAGTACTTTTCAAAATCAATTGAATATTTTATTAATTGCAAGTATGTCAAATATAATAATCATTATTCTGATATTCAAGACCAGTTGGTGAATATTATGAATATTAATGATTTATAGTGAAATTTAGTCTCAATGACTATGATTTTTTTAAAAAATCTTGATTTGGAGTAATACCATGCATTTTAATATACAGGTGTAGAATACATGTTCCAGATAGTGTGCTGCAATGGTTATTTTTCATGTGAACACACACACGTTTTCTTAGGTTATAGTGTCAGTTTGGGTCCCCTGAGATGCAAAAGCCAGGCTAACATTAGATGATCAAAAGAATCTTGAGGAAACACCTGTGAAGGTGAAGCAGGCAGCAGAAGACACAAAGAACCTTCAGAACACAATTCAACCCTGATAGCTGTTGAAATAAGAGAAAAAAGAAAGAAATGGGAATCAGTGCCTTGGGTTACAATACAGGTCTCTGAATATTTTGGACCAACCAATTAGTGGAGAGTTTGAAGCAGAAGTTCATTCAAGGAATTCCATTGTGTGTATTGCTGGACTCTGTAATCTCCTCCCTTGGTGAGTATTTACAATTTTTGTGTTATTATTACCACTCTCTCTTAATTACTACAGATTCATTATAGGTTATTTTCTAGGTTTATTGAGGAATAATTGTCAAATAAAAATTGTATATATTCAAGGTGTACATCATTCAGTACACATTTATATTGTGCAATTATTACCACAATCAAATTAATTAACACAGTCTTCACCATACCCAGTTACTGTGTGTTTGTGTGTGTGTATGCATGCGTGTGTGTGTGTGTGTTCGTGGTGAGGTCACTTAAGATCTGTTTTAGCAAATATCCAGTAAACAATGTTATTAACTATAGTCACTGTGCTGTAGGTTAGAAAATTGGAAGATGTTGGTTATCCAACACAAGCATATATCTGGATATCTGCTGTTATCAGTTCTCTACTTCTTTTTCCTGTTGTCCTACCAATCCTGGCTATTTAATTGCTATGTGAATTTTAGAATTAATTAATTAATTAATTTAGAATTAATTTACCAATTTCTGCAAATACTCAGCTGATATATGACTAGTATTTCATTCAAGGTACGGAATAATTTGGGGAAAATTGACATCTCTATGTTACTGGATTTTCAATACATAAACATGAAATAATTACCTTCCATTTAGTTAGATATAATTAATTTTCTCCTCAGTAATATTTCATAGTTTCTTGTATAAAACACTTGCACACCTTCCACTACACATATTCACAGAAATTTGGGCTTGTCTTTATTGTACCTTGTTTGATAGTGCTCAGTGAAACCATTCTCTAATAAACATCTCCAAATAAGTATTATGAAATACAGATGAGAATCTCCATCCTCACAACAGTGGGAGTACAAGATCTATATTCACTTGCTTTTTGTTGTTTCTGTTAATGAAAATGTCCAGCTGATAACACAGGTTGTGGTCCACTGTGTATGTGGTGAAAACACACTCATAATAAAAAATGAAGATATTATTGAAGAATCCCAGTGCTACGATTATATATTTCTCTCCAAAGTTAAATATATATTCCTCATATCAGAAATGTGTGTAGATCAGCCAAATTAATAATTGTTTTCTCATGTGCAAAAAGTTGTTTATGAAATAGGTCGAGATAAGCACAAAACTAAAGATATATTATAAACTAGGTGAAATCTTTATCCCCTAATCTATCTCCCTATTGAATTGAGCTTGGCTAATTCTTCCAATCAAAGTCAGCCATAAGGATAATTTCTTGAAAATGATGTGGTAGTATTATTTAAATAATTCCCTGTCTGTGTTCTAGAATGTTGTAGATTGCAGAACTATAAACTCAATTCTGTTATCAAATTCATTTAGTATAATTAATCCTCAGTTGTGAAATTTCTTTTTTTAGCCACAAATAAATTAAAATTATGAACAAATATGTTTCTTCAAGAGCTCATCTGAAAAAAAATGTTGGCGTGACTACATAAGAATCACCTAAGGTACTTCTACAAATATGTATTTTATCTTTATTCCCTTTACCCAATCACATTTAGTAGATAAGGACAGACACAATATTATATAAAAATGCCTAGGTGACTTTCCTATGTGGCTTGACTGGGGAACAGCTGTGCATTGTTCCAGCTATACAATATCATTAGTGTTATTGCTGTAGAGCATGGAAATATGCAGTACAGGAAATTAAAACCATAATATTAATTTATTGTCAATGGACATAATTATTTTCCCTAGTTATAATCAGACTTCCTACTTTAGGGACTATAGCCTAAATGTTTGCCAATTAAACAGTTATAGCTCTTTCAGCACTTCTCCATATACACTGATCTGAATAACCCGAGTCTTTTATGTATCCCTTTTTCAAAAGGCCAAGAAATCAATAAGATTAAACAAGACCTGTCAACATCCCTTTTAATTGTGTTTGAGCAAAACTGTTATTTCCACAGTGCCACTGCCAGACTTGATTTCAGAGACCAATAAATGAAGATATTAAAAAGTTAAGAGAAATTATTCAAAATTTCATTTTCAGTGAATACATACAATCCATTCAAACAGGTTATTCTGAGTCTACAACTGAAAGATATACTTTGTTTGGAGAATTATCCTTTCCTCAAATTTAACTGTGGCATTGCTCCCTTTAACCATGGGAAGAATACAAATGACATGATCCAACTTGTATTGAGAATCCAAATTCATACACTCCCCTTTCTCATTGACAGGAATAACTGAAACATATGTCTTTTCATACCATGTGGAAATATGCAACAATATTTCAGTTCTTGATTTTTCTTGGCCTTTACTAATGTATTTAGCTACTTCAATTTTTACTTTTCCATTGATCCTTCCATTTCCAGTATATAAACGTTTTTGAAATAAGTGTGGATTTTGCACGAGACAACTCCTCTCTTCCATTTTCTTCCGTTTTGTGAGGAGAATGCTCTACAGTTAATGCAGGAAATATTAAGGAAAGGCCATGAACTTGGATTTCCTGCATTCCAAATATTTTCTGCTTACTTTTTTTTTTTTTTTTTTGAGATAGAATCTAGCTCTGTTGCCCAGGCTGGAGTGCAGTGGTGCACTCTCAGCTCACTGCAACCTCTGTCTCCCTGGTTCAAGTGATTCTTCTGCCTCAGCCTCCCGAGTAGCAGGGACTACAGGCACCTGCCATCAGGCCCGGCTGATTTTTTTGTGTTTTTTAGTAGAGACGGGGTTTCACCGTGTTAGCCAGGTTGGTCTCGATCTCCTGACCTTGTGATCCACCCACCTTGGCCTCCCAAAGTGCCGGGATTACAGGCATGAGCTACCGCACTTGGCCTTCAACTTACTTTTTAATATGAACCTCTTTACTGTCCCAGACATTCCATTTCTAGTGCCTTCCTAATTGTTCTCTAGCCCATTTATTTATTTTCCTAGCATATGCCCCCAGATTTGTGTAGTCCTCTTAGTGGAAGATGGGAGTTCTTTGGTTTTCAGTTCTATGAAAAGTATCCATTGTTCAAGAAATTGTGATCAATTTTATCCCTTAAATTTTCTTCAAAGTTGCCTTCCTTCAATAGCTCAAATTCTGACCCTGGCCTACATTAAACCTTTTGTGTTTCTGTCTCATTCCCTTTTAATGCTATTCATATTGTGTGTCTTTCCTCAGCTAGCCACCTCATAGCTCATTTCATTTATACCTCCCTATCTATATTTGGCAGGTGAACTGGACTTTCACTTAGAAAAGGCTTATTCACTCAGCTGATGAAATAGTCATAAATTAACAGGTTTAATTTAAAAAAATTGCAAGATTATGGAACATCTAGTTTACTGCATCAAATTCATATCTCTCAATCATCATTGTAGAAGAGGTGGCACATGTAAGAAGAAAGTAAATTTTAAGTGAACAAAAGAACATATGATATAATGGTTTTCAGCTCTACTAACAGGCTAATGTTCCCATTCCCTGCATCCTTATCCTCTTGCCTGATGACCTAGCCCTAATCCACTTAATACAGTTGTAATTATTCAGACTTGAGTCAAACAAATGTCCAAAGGCTGATCCTGACATTCCTTTGTTGTGTGACTTTTGGCAAGTTACCACTCTTGAGCTTCAGTTTCCTCATGTATAAAATTGACCCAATGATAGTATCTATGCCACAGAAATGATGTAAAATAATATATGTGAAAATATTTATCCTGGTATCCGAATATAGTGAACACTAAACATGTTAGTTGTTTTTCCTGTAAGCCCCTCGGAGCAGGCTGTGCTATGGCCAAGCCATTGCGACCCCTGTGACCCACATGTACACATCCAGAAGGTCTCCTGGAGCCAGAAAGTCTGGGACAACAGGAAGACCCCAAAAGAAGAAAAACAACTAGTTCCTGTCTTCGTTGATTAGCCAACCTTGCGACCTTCTACCATTGTGACATACCCTACCCTAACTGATCAATCAACCTCCTGACATGTGCCCTGTGACCCCTCCCACCTTGTGATAATGTACCTTGCGACATTCTTCCCCTGCCTGCAATAAACGGCCCCTAACTGTAACTTTCCACTGCTTACCACTGACCTATAAACCTAGCTCCAATCCCACCACCCTCCTCTGACTCCCTTTTCGGACTCAGCCTGCTCGCACCTGAGTGAATAGACAGCCTTATTGCTCACACTTAGCCTGTCCAGGTGCTCTCTTCAATTAGACACATGCATAACATTTACTATATTCGGTGAAAATTAGGATTTGTTAGACATTTTTCTTTACACTTAACATATAGGCTTGATTTTTATTTCAGTTTCTTTTTAACATTGATTACATAACCTTATTTTAAATTGTGTGTTGGTTATTTATTCTAATGAACACATGAAAAAATTTTGGATAGTGACATGTACATTTAAAGAAAAGAGATATGTGATTTCCAACTGATACAATTATTAGATCCAATATGACTTTCTGCATTAAAAAACAAAAACAGAAAAACAAATGATCTTCATTGAAACTGCATGTGGCTTGATATTTGGAAGAACAGTTACATGTATCTTCAGATTTCTTATGCAAGTGCCACTATTAAAAAAAAATAATTTGTGTTTTTTTCCCATATTGTTAACGTGTATCATTTTGCATTAATTTGTCTGGCATTTGTTAGGTTTAAAAGACTTTGGAACATAGTTTCAAGGTTTGATTTTATTGCTATGTTTACACAATAAAGCATCATTTAAAATATCATTAAATAAGACAAAAACTTACATTCCTCCCTTTAGAATCTCAGTAAATGTGAGCACTTGAGAGCTTGCCATTTATGATTAGTATTTCATGGTACATCAAGTAAGCATCATTCTTCACAAACATAATAAGTTTCCAGCTAGTGTATGTAATACCTATAAAATCTAATGTGGCTAATGAACAAGAATGAAATGATGGTAATCTATGGGAATAAAATAAAACATAAAACAAAGGTAAACAATATATTGTAGAAACAGGGACATCTTAGAAACAAGGGTGTAATTTAAAGTTCAAAATACAAAAATCATGCAAAATAAATGTGCAGGAATATGCACTACCAATTCTTTTAATTTTGAGTTAAATAAGAAATAATACTTATTTGGAAGATAGGCAAATAGAAGGTTTAATAGATGATTATTATGGTGAAAAATATTATCGACTGTGATACACCAATACAATGGCACATGTTCTGTGAAATAATGAGATGGGAGAGTTCCTTTGACCCCTTGTAGGACTTGTAACCAGCGTGGCTTGCTTACTTGGCTAGTCACTGTGCTCAAATCCATCATGGGAGTGGGAGAACTCAGGTGAGCAGGTATCTGGGCCAGGGCGAGCACTTTTGGGCTCCAGCCCCACAGTAGCATCTAGGAGTTTGTTATAATTAATGCTCCTTTAGCAGTTGCTGTCTGCAGATGGCTAAATGTTAACCAGCTCAGTGGAGAGTCAAGTTGACAGCCTTTTACACCCTACCCTCTTGGTACCTGGGTTCTTGTTAGGCATCCAGGAAGCACCAGGTCACGTGAATGGTTTGAAAGGTGATGAATGCGGGGGATTTTATTGAACGGTGGAAGTGCCTCTCAGCAGAAAGGGAGCTGGAAAGGAGATGGTGTGGAAAGAAGGTGATCTCTGAGTGAAGCTGCCTCTATCTGTAGTCTCCAAGGCTCAGTTGTTTCTTCTCCTCTAGAGGTTCAGTTGCTTCTTCTCTTCTGTCCTTCTCTGCTATGCCACTCTGCTCCTCTGGCAGTGAAAAGCTTGGGGTTTTTATGGGTACAGGGTGAGGGGCATAGTGAGCCAAAAGGCAGCAACACTCAGGCAAGAAAATGGGGATGTGAAGGATGTGAAGTTCTCATTTAGGGCCACGGGTTTAGGTTTGAGGGTGGAATCTTTGCCAGAGACCCCGCCCTCTTTTACCCAGTATTTCCCTGTCTCCTATCCATATCAATAATAAGTTAAAAAGATTGCTAGTTGGAATCAGAATTAGAGATTTGGATGGAAATGTAAAATAAAAAGTAAAAGGTATTTCAAAAAAGGTCTTTGTAGCATGTGCATTTTTTTCCTATTGGGTTTCTTTCTAAAGTATTTTATTTTTCCCCCACTAAAGGCAAATTTTCTTGTAAGTAACAGCTAATGAACATTGTTTTCTTGTTTAGTCTAAAGTTAGTTTCTGGGGAAAAAAGCATTAGGTTGTATGAAACATAATACATATGTCAATGTTTTTCCCTTGCCTAATAGCTAAACTGTACTTATTGCTGATTTTTTCAGACTGTTTGCCGCTGCTTGCATCTCCTCCGTTCAAACACAGGGGTAATGTATATTTGACAAATGTACAAGACTTTTTTGTCTAAGAAAAAAGGAAAATAAAACTCTTTCTCCAAAAGGAAGAAAAAAATTGGCATCAGAAAATAACATTTTGCTGTGACTACATATTCAAAATGGAAATGAAGTTATTAGCTTATTCAGGTACGGCAATCAAAATGAATATAAAGAAAGTACACACATTCTAATAGCTTCAGTGTCTTCTATGTACATTTTATTCACTATGAGCAATTTTTTCTGATTATTTTTTCCCATTGTAAAAATTTTTGTGCTGAAAAAAACAACTTGCTCTTACTATAAAAATCAAAATAGAGAAATAGTAAAACTTAGTGGGAAACTTATGTCTTTTGAGGACAGACAGACTTGGGCTTGACTCATATGTGGAACAATCTTGAGGTAGTGACCTTGGGCTAGTAATTAAACCTCTTTGAATTTTATTTTTCTCATCTATTAGATTGGGCTAGTAATACCTACATCTTACAACTATGGTGAAGTACTATGAGGATTAAATGTGTTGAACTTGCTTGGTATGCCTGATAGATTTAATGTGGATGAATGCTACTTAACAAGATGAATACTTCTTCGCTACTATGTACATAAGTTAGTAGTTGGAACATGGTAAGCATTTGGGATATTGTAGATATTAGGTTGTGATAACTCACTTTTTGCTCAATTTCAATATACTTTTAAAATTAGACATATTAGTACAGAGATTCATAAGGAGATGTGTCATTCATTTTTCATAGAGTGGTTGAATGACAACTAACTGCTATTTCATTATTATTTATTTGAATATATGGCATAATGGCATAATATTACATATATCTTGTAACATATAAATCTAATCATGTTACCAACCTTCTTTGAAACCTAAAAAAATATTTTACTGCCTAGTTTAAACCAAAAATAAAATTGTGGGCCCCTCAACCAATTGAATGGACCCCCTTCTTGGCCAAGGAGACTGCAAAGATACCTGAAAAACTAGTTCAGGCCATGATGGAAATGGAGGGTTGGACACGCCTCATTATGCCCTTCTCCCTTTGGAGTTGTGGAAGGAAAATCAATCTCAGTACCCTAACATCACTAACCCAAAGGAAAATGTCAGGCTGGGTACCGCTTCAGGCAAACCTGCCTCTCATTCTATTCCTGTATAAGATAGCTACATAAAAGCTACATATCTCCCTTACAATTTGCCCACGAGGAAATTCCTTGTAGACAAAGGATAAGCAGAACACAAAGTTATCCCTATGCTCACATGAGACAAATGCATATGCAATTGCTTCCTTTGCTCTACTGTTTCACTAAGCCAGACAAAAGCACAAATGACTATCTCTGTAAATTGTGTATCAGTGAAAAGTTAATCAGAAACTCAAAATAATGCAGCAATTTGCCTCTTATCTACCTATGAGCTGGAAGCCCCTTCCCCACTTTGAATTGTCCTGCCTTTCAGACCAAACCAATGTATATTTTACATATATTGACTGGTGTCTAATGTCTCCCTAAAATGTATAAAACCAATGTGTAACCTGACCGCCTCGGGCACATATTGTCAGGACCTCCTGAGATTCTGTCACAGGCACATCCTTAAGCTTGGCAAGATAAACCTTCTAAATTGATTGAGACTCGTCTGAGGTACTTTTTGCTTTACAGAGTTTAAACACAACTGGCCAGCATTAACATTAAAACAAATCATGAAATCCACCTATGGATCCTCCTATGACCTGGAAGCCCCAGCTTCCAGATGTCTGGTCTTTCTGGGCCAAATAAATGTTTATCTTACATGTATGGATTTGTGTCTTTGCCTGTGTCTTCTATCTCTCTAAAATGTATAAAACAAAGCTGTAACCCAACTAGCTTGGGCACATATTGTTAGCCTCAGAGCTCCTGAGGCTGTGTCATGAGCCATGGTCTTTAACCTTGGCAAAGTTAACCTTCAAATTGATTAGGATGAATCTCAGCTTTTGGTTAGACTACGGAATAAAAACCAAATGCTTAAGTATGAAATGCCATGTTTTTCATTCTTTGGCTCATATAATTTTATTTAGTCATATTTCTGTGTTTCATTTACTTATTCTTTATTATTTTTGTTCCTTCCTGCATTCACTTATTTTCTTGAATTTAAATATAACTGAAGTTATTGTAAATTATATATATAATACAATGCAGCAAAGCGTAACATTCTCTTCTAACACCTTCATTGCTACTTCCCAGAAGAGACCAATACTATAAGTTTGTTATACACTCCTTTGAAACCTTCACTTTATTTATGGAGTCAGAAAATATCTTAAAATGTTAATTTTAGCTATTTATTTTCCATACTTCCTTATATATGCTTCTCATAACCTAGGCGTCCACAATGCAAAAAGGTCAGTTATAGCAGAAAACTAGTAAATAACCTTCGACTATTTTTGTTTTTTCATTCAAAATAATCTCTTGAAGCCCTCAGCAGAAAAAAAAAAAAATACAAATCATTTAACTGAAGAGGGACATCTTTTTTTTTTTTTTTTTCATTTGGCTGGTTGGGAGAGAGGCATCTCTTAATAATCAGACAAGAGGTGAGATATGGTATATGGGCCATAATCTCATAATAATAAACTTATACCAGTTAATGTGCTATTTGATAAATATTCTGTTTTGATTTATTTGAAGCACCTGGTAAGATTGCACTTCCAATCTACCTTGTAGGTTTATGGGATTTTGTGGCAAATGCTGAACAAGGAACTGAATGTGCTGATGGAATAGCTCTTTTTGAGGCCAGGATCTTTAAATAATTAATGCCAATATTGACAGTGACACGAGACAGACACATTCCTAGGCAGACAGGGATGAATCCCTGGTAAAACCCGACCTTCAAGCCAAAGGCAGTTTAAAGCCTGAACACTGAGCTGCTAGTTCCAGATAGAGTTCACATCAGAGTTAGAACTTCTATCCACAGCTTACCTTCTCTCTCTTGATTGGTTCCTTCTGGATGATGCTTTTTGACCAATTGGATGGTGATTTTTTCAAAGACCAACTATGGACCAATCAGCACACATTCTCCCATTGTAAACCCAAACAAACTCAGACTCAGCCTCAACCCGCTTTCAGGGTGCCTTCTCACAGTTGAGAACTTAACTTCTGTTGCTCAATAAAATTCTTCTCTGCCTTTCCTACTCTCCAGTGTCCACATACCTTATTCTTCTTGGTCACAGGACAAGAACTTGGAACTTATTGAGCTGTGGGCGGCTGGATTGAAAGAGCTGTAACACACTCCTGCTCGCCAGACTACAAGAGAGAGCTATAACATGCTCTGGGTGAGCTACGAGAGTGAAGAGCTGCAACTTTTCTTGGGGGTTCAAACCTTGGGACTCCCCAAGCAAGAGCTGTAACACCCCTTGGGGCTCGGCGATTGCTGATTGCTGGCATCTCTGAGGTTTTGGGCACCAACACCTTCCCCTATTTTAGACTCTGCCCTGTGCAGAAGCCACTCAAAGCATGCCTGATTCAGCCTCAAGCTGAGCATAGAGCCAAGGCAGTCAAGGGATCCGGCCCAGGGAGTGAACTGACTGCAGGCTGCTGGGCTGAGCAGACAGAGCAAGTCCAGGTGGCCCTAGAAAGGCCAGGGCAGAGGCAGTGGCGGCCACAGAGATTTCCAGCTGGCAAAGTGGCACCAAAGGAATCCTGTAACAATATGAGACCCACCATAGTCATCTTTTCTTTTCTTTTCTTTTCTTTTTTCTTTTGTTTTCTTCTTATCTGCCAGGACAATTGGGCATGATACAGATGAGGGCTGTTCTATCGTTTTTTTGTTACAGAGTAATGATGACAGAGAAAAGAGTCAGCTGACCAACAATGAAAACACAGCCAGGGCAGAAAATAAACCTTTGTGGCAAGTGACTGAATTTTGTTGTTATTACAGAAGTATTGCCTAATAACTTCCAACTAAAACAATACTGCAGATATGATTCTTCTGATTTATGACTTTTGCCTGAACGATATTATGGTTGTTTAAAATAATTCACTTGGGGGACACGTGCAGTCATTATATAAAAGCAAGTTGTGTATAGAGATCTCATTTTGTGACATAATAGTTGCATAAAATGAGAAAACTCTAAAAGTTTTGTTATACTGTACTCAGTTTCATAATCGTAAATAAATAATGTTTTTCACAATGTTATTGTTATGATGATGGAAGATAATTAATTATTTTCTTGTATATAGAAACACCTAACCACATTAGGCAATACAGTAAAGCCTACTGAATATGTCAAAATAAGTACTTCTTATTTGTCACCAACCATCTATTTGAATAAATATGGCCAGTCATGAAACAGATAAATTGAAATATCATGAATATTACTGCATACAATATTTGTTACATATTTCATCCTGTTTTTCCACAAAGGTATAAACTAATATAAATCTGGCACAGTCAATACATTTTCTCAAATGTTAAAGTATTTATTTATCCTTGTAGAGCATTTGAATATAAAGTTCCTTCTCATTTCCTGAGTTCTTCACTATGATGCATTTACAAAACAATTACTGTCAAAAGCTTCATCTGACAAGAGTGACTTGGAGTGGTAAAATTCTGCTACAATATTTATTTAATGATCTCTGACACCTACTCAGAGCAAGTGTTTTGGAATATCCCAACACTTGCTTTTGAATCTCCCAGACTGAAGTCTGACACTTATTAATGAGTTATTTTATGAATGAATTTTTAATGAGATTTCTAATGAATTATTTATTTTCTGAATCTGTATTTTTCACATAGGAAATGAAGAAAAATTTCACTAACTTAATGTGTTAGTTACAAAACTGTCATCTAATAGGTCTTAATTTATCTGTACTGTATAAGTTGCAAAAAGCAATCTTTATTTTCTACATAGTATTGCTTACATCAGTAATTCAATTAATATAGCAATTGCTACTCCTTATTGGCTGATGCTGTCTCAGTTTTAATACTGTAACTCCAAGAAACCAAAGAAATTTCTATAACTCAGCACACTAAATAAGTATCAATAGATATTATGTGTTCTTCTCTTTAAGAAGCCTTAATTTCACATATATACATAGTACTGTACTGACTGAATTTTATCTCTCATTAGGCTCTTGCATGTGGCCCCTCATTTTGATAGCAAAATAATTTATTTTAACTTAAACCTGAGACTATTCTGATTATTAGTGCTTTGCCTAATTTTCAGCATCATTCTTTCAAAAGCTTGATTTATGATTGGAAAAGGGGCCTGCATTGTGTGTTAATTATTCATATTTGAGAAAACACATTTTGAAAGTGTTTATTTTTAAGCTAAGAGAAGTTAATTTACAAATAATAATATATTTAATTGATTTTGAGCCACTTTGCCTGGGGTGGGCTCCGGGAAGAAGTACTTTCAGAAATGCTCAATTGATTTTATTATTATGCAAATTTGAGAAACTATGCCCAGGAAGATAATCATTTTAATTTTTAACAAATATACTTATATTATTTATTTGCCATAAAAGTGTCATAAGAGAAATGTTGCCCTTGTTTAAAACACTACTTAGTGATAAAGAAGAACAAAATTTTGTCAGCTGTAATATGGATTAGCTTGTGGGCTGTTAAGTGAAATAAGACAGGCACACAAAGATAAGTATCACATGTCCTCTCTCCTATGTGGAAGCTCCAAGAGCTGATCTCACAGTAGTAGAGAATATAATAGTGGTTACTAGAGGCTGGGAAGAGAAGGGTATGTTGGGCATAGCTGGAGATTGGTTAGTGAACGTAAACGTACAGCTAGATAGCAGAAATAAGTTCTCATGTTCCATAGCACTATTAAGTGTCTGTAATAAACAACAACCAATGGCATATTTTCAAACAGTTAGAAGAGCAGATTTGAATATTCTCAACACAAAGAAATAATAAATGTTTGAAGAGATGGATTGCTAATTACTCTGATTTGATTGATACACATTGCATATAGGTTTTGAAATATCATCTTGTACCTCATAAACTATTACTATTATTATTCGTAGTAAACTAGTACTATTATTGTCAATTAAAAATAATTTTAGAGAAGTTGTCAGTATAATACATTAAAGAAGTTTGTTGACTCCTATAAATGCTCTGAAAACATAAGAAAATGTATAGTTTGTTATATTGGTCCTCTTATATCCTTTTGAAAGCACAATATTTTGCATCTATAAAATAATAAAACTTAAATGTGAACATATATACATTTCTGCTATTTTCATTTGATTCATATCAATGTCGAGGAGAACTCATAAATTTGTACATGACTTTTTGCCGCATGTCTTGGACGCTAATAAATGATTTAAGACAGTATAAAAATGCAACTTATTTAAATAAATAAACACTAAAAATAAGCTCTCTACAATTTCATCATTTCCATTGATATAACAGAAAAAACACATATATTCCTTTTAGATTTGTTCTTTGTATGCTGAATATTATAGAGTGAATATGAGGCTTTGTTTTGTAAGGAATGTGAGGTTTCCTGGGCTCTCAGACTTACACTATTAAAATAAAGATAGTACTGGCCAAGATATACAAGAAAATATGATAAATAAAATAATAATCTTATTTAAAAATGAAACCAACATATCTTATGAAGTGTGATATCAGGCAAGATGCTTTAGGCAAACACATGGATACTTGTAACTTCAAATTTTTCAGGCTTTATTAATACAAAGTTTTATTCATTAAAAATCTTTCTCTTACTTTGTCTTTCTCCCTCCTGTTCACATACACACAAAAATTTCTTCTGGAAGAATAAATTCATATTTCCAATATATCTAGTGAAATTATTAAACATAGATCAATAAGGAAGAATTTATTACTCAGAATAAAAGTACATTTAGTTCTTTATGTGGCCAAATGCCCCTAGGGCAATTTCGCTTTCATAAATATTGGGTAAAGTATTTAAACTGTTGCATAAATTGACATCTTTTAGTTTCCTCCCAGCCTCATTTTAATCCACATATTTCAAATTCAGTGCTCCTAACAAATGAGATACACTTTCTGTCTCCTAAACATTCATAGTCTTTTTAATAAATAATTTACATTTCTTGCATATACTCTTGATATTTTGCTCTGATGCTTTACGTTATTGTTTGTGAACTAGAACAGCGATTATAAATATAGTACTAATGAATAAGTCTATCGAAATCATTTTCTACCCAAGTGACACATAAAATTTACATATGTTATATGTCTATTAACTGAAAACTTCCTAAAAGACATCAGAAATAAAACTGTTGATTAAATAGTTATTTGTATTAGTCAAATATTCTTTACATCAGAAAACCACAGGGACAGTGTTCGTGGTATCTCAAATGGGCGATGCAGAAGGAGGATAATGATAAAACCTTAGGGCCTAAAGTAAGACATTTTAGGATGGCTCTTGCATACCAAAGGACTAAGTGATGTTGTGCAGACTTTTATGCAGTTTTCTTTCTTTCTGTTTCTGTTTTTGTTTTATTTTTATTTTTTTAGATGGCACATTGAAGCAAAAGTCTTCATGCAAGCCTTGATAAGCTGTTCACATCATGAAGAAAGCTATTTGAGGGAGTTCATAGTTTCAACTCTGATCACCACTTTTTCCCCCTGAAACAAGTAGCTAAGATATTTCTTGTCATCGGCGGTATTTAACACAGGCCAAATAAAGCATCCATGATTCTAGTATTGTTTCACAAAGACACAGAAACAAATGTTGCTTTAACTTTCTTTGGTGTAATGGTAATAATTCTATGCGTGGTCTTTTACCTAGTATCTATTGACTTAATTTAGAATAGCAGTATAGACTAATGTTTGGACATCTCCACTCTTCAGTCAAAAGTGATGTATTTAAATCCCAACAATGAAACTAAGATATGTGACCATGGCAAGTTACTTAAACTCTTTAAGATCATCTCTACTATTCTGAAAACATTCGCTGTAATAATAAAATTTTAAAATATTGCATGTGTATTATTCATATAGACCATGAAACATGGCAACTGCTTTAAGTATTAGATAATATATAAATAATATTTCTAAAATTGTTATAACCTATTAGTGTTATTAGCATAGGCTGTAGTACATGGTAAGTGCTGCTTATTACTAGGTAACATATATACATATATTATATTAATATATAAATGTGTTATATCCCACTAGTGTTATATTTTTGCTTTTTAAAATTATTGCACCTGTTGCACACATTAATTTGTTTATATGAAACATATAGGACTGTTATTCTTAAAACATGTGCCACCATTGAACAACTAATAAGTAAACAGTCAACCTGACACTAATGAGAAAAAGGAATTAGTTAAAAGTCTATTTCGTATGTGTCACTACTATGATATCAATGTTTGCACCTCATAAATGATAGCTATATGACAGTAAAAATGATGTGGATTTATAAAATAGTGGACTTTGTTTTAGTTATTTTAAGAGTTGAAATCTCCAAAAAATGGGCAGATTATTCCAGGTGCATATTCCATAACAGACACCTCCACAATGGGGGAGTAGAAATAAGAAAATGCATGGTATTGTGAAGCGATAGCTTAAAATTGTGTTACAAAAACGACTTGAATTATGATGTCAAAGAGAAATCAGATAGAAAGCACAGCAATAGTACCTGGAATTTGCCAAATTCTTCTACTCTTCTCCCAAAAAATGCCTGGCACATACTATGTATTCCAAATAAACATCCTTACTGTATTAGTTTTCTAGGGCTGCCATAACAAAATACCACTGATAGAGTGGCTTAAAAAACAGAAATTGGTCAGGTGCAGTGGCTCACACCCGTAATCCCAGCTCTTTGGGAGGTCAAGGAGGGTGGATCATGAGGTCAGGAGATGGAGACCATCTTAACTACCACAGTGAAACTCCGTCTCTACTACAAATACAAAAAATTAGTCAGGTGTGGTGGCATGCACCTGTAGCCTCAGCTACTTGGGAGGCTGAGGCAGAAGAATTGCTTGAACCTGGGAGACAGAAGTTGCAGTGAGCTGAGATCGCACCACTGCACTCCAACCTGGGTGAAAGAGCAAGACTCCACCTGAAAAACAAAAACAAACAAAAAATCAAACAACAACAACAACAACAGAAATTGATTTCTCACATTTCTGAAAGCTAGAAGTCCAGGTCAAGTTGTTGGCGGGCTCAGTTTGTTCTGAGGCCTCACTGTGTCTTTCCATGGTCATCTCTCTGTGCATGTACATGTCTGGTGTCACTGTGTGTACGAACTTAGTCTTCTTAAAAGCACATCAGTCACATTGGGTTAGTCCCACCCTACAGAACTAATGTTTACTTATTTTCCCTTTTAAAGCTCGTATCTCCAAATATGATTACGTTTTGAGGTACTGAGGTTTTAACACTTCAACATATTAATTTGGAAGGCAGCGCACAATTCAGCCCATAACACTCATCCTCCTTGTTTTTAAAATAACACTAAATGGGAAGAAGGAAAGACTACATTTGAGTGAGTCACAGTAGCCAATGTGTCAGAATAAAAGTAAGATAAAGGATACATCACTGCAACATCTTGGTAGAAAAAAAGGTTCCAAAAAATTAAAAGGCTTTAGACAGCTGAAATAAAAATAACACTTACTTTCTCTGACTACTATTGAGAATATTAGTATTCTAAATCACTTCTCCATATCAATCTGAGTGGTGCACAAGATTTCAGTATTCACTTTATTATGAA